GGTGAAGCTACTGAATTGGACTACTTGCATGCCAAACAGCATTGGCAGCAAGTGATAGACAAGCAATCCCACAGCTAACAGATCAGACCTAAACGCTACAGTTCTACTACATCTTGTTATAAATGGTGGTGGACAATTAAATAACTCACTGGAGGAGAAGGCTGCACAAATATTCCTAATCCTCAATGATGGAAGAGCCCAACACATCAGTGCGAAAGATAAGTTTGAAGCATTCGCTGTAATCTTCAGCTAAAGGTGTCGAGTGGATGATCCATCCTGGCCTCCTCCAGTAGATCCGAGCATCACAGATATCAGTCTTCAGCCAATTCGATTCATTCCACGTGATATGAAGAAACAGTTGGAGGCATTGGATTGTGCAAAAGCTATGGGCCCTGACAACATTTGGGCAATCATACTGAAGACTTGTGCTCCAGAACTTGCCACTCCCCTATTCACGCTTTCCCAGTACAGGTATAACACTGGCATCTACCTGACAATGTACCCAAAAGTTGACCAGGCACATCCTAGACACACAAAACAGGGCAAATCCAACCTGGCCAATTATCACTCCCCCTATCAGTCCACTCTCGATCATAAGTGAAGTAATAGAAGGTGTCTTTCAAAGTGCTATCAAGCAGCACCTGCTCAACATTAACCTGCTCAGTGATGCCCAGTTTGGGTTCCGCCAGGGCCATTCAGCTCCTGACCTCACTGCAGCCTTGATTCAAACATAGACAAAAGAGCCGAATTCCAGAGGTGAGGTGAGAGTGACAACTCCGCATCAATGTCACATTTAATAGTGTGTGGTCAAGGAGCCCTAGCAAAACTGGACTCGATAGATAGTGGGAAGAGTAAAAGAGTGGGACTAGCTGAGTTGCTATCCAAAGGGTCAGCATAGACATTATGGTCCCTGAATTGGCTCCTTATGTATTGTAATTGTCTTATAATTCTGTATCATATAAATAAAGAGCCATGATATTCACCTTGATAATCCCCATATCAATGCTGCCGTCGTTTTGTTTTGAGGCTGTCATTGTGGCTGCAGCAGCAGATGACAGATTTTAGTTCTTTTGTGAAGTGAGGTTATCTCAAATGTTGGCTCCCGTTAAGGTTGAGGTAAAAGAATTGCTCCCTGAATGCCCTGGGTGGATAAACATAGAAATATAGAAAATAGATGCAAGAGTAGGCCATTCAGCCCTTCGAATCTGCACCACCATTCAATATGATCAAGGCTGATCATGCAATCTCAGTATCCCATTCCTACCCTCTTTCCATAACCCTTGATCCCTTTAGCCGCAAGGGCTACGTCCAGCTCCCTCTTGAATAATCTAATGAACTGGCCCCAACAGCTTCCTGTGGGAGAGAATACTACAGGTTCACAACTCTCTGAGTGAAGAAATTCTTCCTCATCTCAGTACTGAATGGCTTGCCCCTTATTCTTAGACTGTGAGGACTTGTTCTGGACCTCCCCTATATTGGGAACAATTTTCCCACATCTAGCCTGTCCAGTCCCCTCAGGATTTCATACGTTTCTATGAGATTCCACCTTATTCTTCTAAATTCCAGCGAATACAAGCCCAGTTGACCCAGTCTTTCCTCATACATCAGTCCTTCCATCCTGGGAATCAGTCTGGTGAACCTTCGCTGGACTCCCTCAGTAGCAAGAATGTCCTTCCTCAGACTAGGAGACCAAAACTGTACTTAATACTTAAGATTTGGCCTCATCAAGTCCCTGTATAACTGCAGCAAGACATCCTTACTTCGATACTCAAATTCTCTCACTATGAAGGAGAGCATGCCATTAGCTTTCCTCATCGCCTCTTGCACCTGTATGCCAACTTTCAGCGACGTTTCCACCATGACACCCATGTCTCGTTGCACCTCACCTTTTCCTAAACTGCCACATTCAGATAATTTATCTTTCTGTTTTTGCGACCAAAGTGGATAACTTTATCCACATTATATTGCATTTGCCCACTCAACCAGTCTGTCCAAGTCACCCTGCAGCCTCTTAGCATCCTCCTTACAGCACACATTGTCATCTGCAAATTTGGAGATATGACATTCAATTCCTTCATCCAAATCATTAATGTATATTGTGAACAGCTGAGGTCCCAGCACGGAACCCTATGGCACCCCACTTGTCACTGTTTGCCGCTCTGAAAAGGACCTATTTATTCCAACTCTCTGCTTCCTGAGTGCCAACCCGTTCTCTATCCATGTCAATGCATTACCTCCGATACCATAGGCTTTAATTTTTCTTACTGATCTTTTGTGTGGAACCTTGTCAAAAGCTTTTGAAAGCCCAGATACGCAACATCTACTGATTTGCCATTTTCTACTCTACTGGTCACATCCTCAAAAAATTCCAGAAGATTTGTGAAGCATGATTTCCCTTTAGTGAGTCCATGTTGACTAGGACCGATTCTGTCACTGCTTTCCAGATGCTCACTTATTACATCCCCAATGATTGACTTCAGCATTTTCCTCTCTACCAATGTCAGGCTAACCGGCCTATAATTCCCCATTTTCTTTTTTTTTAAAGAATGGGGTTACATTAGCTACCCTCCAGTCCATTGGAACTCTTCCAGAGTCTATAGAATGCTGGAAAATGATCACCGATGCATCTACTATTTCTAGGGCCACTTCTTTAAGTACTCTGGATGCAGAGCATCAGGCCCTAGGGACTTAACGTGTTTTAATCCCATCAATTTCCCCAATACCATTTCCTGACTAATAAGGATTTCCTTCCGTTCCTCCTTCATGCTTGAATCTCTGTCCCCTAGCATTTCCTGAAGATTATTTGTGTCCTCCTAAGTGAAGACAGATCTGTAGTATTTGTTCAACTGGTTTGCCATCTCTTTGTTGTCCATTATGAATTCTGATTCTAACTGCAAGCGACCTGCACTTGTCTTCACCAGTCTTTTTCTCTTCACATATCTATAAAAGCTTTTGCAATCAGTTTTTATGTTTTCTGCAAGCTTACTTTCATATTCTATTTCCCTTTGTCCTCTGCTGAAGTTTAAATTTCTCCCAGTTCTCTGATTTGCTGCTTTTTCTGGCCATTTTATATGCCTCCTCTTTATCTTTAACATGGTTTCTGATTTCCCATGTTAGCTATGGTTGCAGGTACAATTCTTGAAGTTCATCCATATGTTCTTTACATGTCTTTAAATAAAGCCTCCTAGTAAGACTTGTTCTCTTCCTCCCTTTTCTATCAGTTTGCCATGCTTTGTGAGGCCCCTTTTTGTTCCCCTAGTTATGTTCAGTTCCCAGAGGAAGGTCGAGCAGACACCGATGTGTGCAAGCAACTTGATTCAGCACAAGGTTTTAAACAAATAAATATTTCAGCATCAGTTAGACCACTTTTCTGCATTATCCAGACTTAGTCAAATACAGGAAAGTTGCAAAATTGCATGAACAGCTACAGGACTTAATCCACCAGCTAACGTATAAATAGTTCATGATCCCTTTAACTAGCATTGGTGGGAATTTCTTCATGCCATTTAACATGTATTCAGCTATGCATGATTACAACACAGTCAAAAATCACACAATACCAGGTTATAGTCCAACAGTTTTCAAATAAACCTGTTGGACTCTAACTTGTGTCGTGTGATTTTTGACCTTGTCCACCTCAGTCCAACACCGGCACCTCCACATCATGATTATAACACGGAATAGGTTGGAGACCGGAATACAAAATTTCATCCTTCTGCTTTTGGTATGGTATGATGCACTCAACATTTTTGTTCTGATGTGGGTATCACTGGCAAGGAGAGAATTTATTACACACTTCTAATTTATTTTGCAAAGGTAGTGGTGCGTTGCCTCCTTCAACCATTGGCATCCAATGGTGTTGTTGGGGAGGAAGTTCCAAGATGTTGATGTAGTGACACTAGCGATATTGTTTCAAGTTAGCATGATGTGCAGCTTGGAGGGGAACATGTAGGTGGTGGTGTAACCATATATTTGCTGCCCTTGTCCTTCAAGATAGTACACTGTGCTTGTATCAGTGGTGGATGGGACGATAATCAACTGGGCTACTCTGCTAGGATGGTGTGAGCACCATGATTATTGTTGGAGTTGGACCCATCCAGGAAAGTGGAAAGTATTCAGTTATACTTCTGACTTGTGACTTTTAAACGGTGGACACATTTTGGAGAGTCAATATATAAGCTATTCACTGCAAACGCCTTGATCTGCTGTCATAGCCGCAATATTTATTTGCCTGTTATGTTTCTGGTAGGAACATGAGTAGGCTATGCAGCCCCGTGAGTCAGCTCTGCCATTCAATAGGATCATAGTTGATTTGTGGCCTAATTCCATGTGCCTGCCATGAATCCATAGCTCTTGATCCTCCTGCGGCCGGCCGGCAGGCTCTGACCAGCTAGTGCAGAGCCAATCTCACACATAAGACGAATCCTTGCGACCCCTTATTATATCTGTCAGCCAGGACTGCCTAATTGGGGCTGTTAATGTGGGCCAATCAGGAGCTCATACTCAATGAGATCCACCTGGCCAACCTCATTCCAATCGCTACAGCAACATAAAACTGTTTAACCCCAAGTTGCCAGTGCAGTCATTCATTGTCTTATGTCCCTCTATCCTCCTTTCCTCCAACCTTTTTGTCTATTTATAACTAATCTGCCTCAGTAATTGAAACGAATTGCATATTCCACAGCCTTTCAATCATCTGAGTTGAAAGGATTCTCCTAAATTCTGACCTAAATCCAAAAACCAGTCATTCCTGGTTGCTTTCTAGTAATCTTTGCCAGAAAGTACATGTGTGGATATCAGGTAATCCATAAACCACACAGCATTCATTGTCTACACTGTAAACCTGAATGAGATAGTGGAGAAGTTTATTGTGAAGCTGCCTTCTAAACCTCACTAGAGACAAAGCTATCTAGGGTGATCAACTTGGTAAAAGGAGGTAAGAGGTAGAAAGCCCTGCTTGTGTGTGGCATGACATTATATTCTGTTTCTTATGCTTGCAGCTTTCTGATGTTTTACGACTATGTGGAGCTGTCATTCAATAACAAGAATGCAACATTGGAGATTTTCAACAGTTCAAGGAAGGGAACTGTTTACCTGTTGCCACATCAAGTAAGTAATGTTGCACCTTCCACACCTGAGAAATGCTGAGAAGAGGTCCTGTCCATTCCTACATTAAATAAACACAGGCTGTGAGCTTCATACACATTAACAGCAGTCATCACTTATCGGCATTAAAGTCAGAATAGAAAAGCCTATTTCATTGACCAGAGTTCATGTCCAGTCAAGAATAATAGCATGAAACTCTTCTTTGCCTCAATACTGACTGCACATTGCACAGACTATACAAAGTAAAACTTCCTTCCTAACTGACTGACTGATGGAAGTGCAAAAGAAGATTACATATGCAAATAATCTATGCTTTATGAGGCCCACAAACATTTAATCAGATAACATAACATTTTGCTCTACTGTATCAAAACTGTGAGATACTTGATTTGGAATATTTGATAATTTATTCCTCAGCAATAATGTTTCTTAATTGAGAATTGGTGAGATGGGGAAAGGTGCACCATTTTGTACAGTTTTAACCTAGCGAGGAAAATTTGTAATTCCATTAAAATGTTTTTATTGCTTTTGAGTATGTTTAATTTTCCTGGTTATTAAGAAATACTGGTCCAAGTAGGGGTGACAACGCTTGACATGAAAGCATACCAACAGAAACAAAGTTAAGACACAGACACTATATGGTCAGATACAGTGAAGAGCTGCAGATATAATGTACTTGATCCTGTTGTACAGCTGAGGTAAGGAAAACATTAACTTTATTGAAAAAGAAATATTACTGTGGCTTCATCTTGTCACAAGGTTGCAAGTGAGAAAAAGATCATGTGATGTTCCATCACTTCCTGTAATCATGTATACTCTTTTTCATTTGCATATCTCACAGTCATATCTAACCCCTTACACCAATTCACATCCACATTTATCATTCCATCCATTGTATTACACCTTTTCTTCAAGTCTCTAACTTCAATTTCTTTTTTGCAGGAATATCAATTACGATGGTTTCACTAGTCAACCCAAAACGTTCTCAGTTCCTTTGGAGGAGGTTGTGTGGCACATATGCTGGCCATCTGTTGAAGCAGTATTCAATGACTTGGGCACATTTTCCTCATGTTTTTTGTGCATCTTTGATTTTGTTTAGTTGATGAGTTGCTGGTTGAGTTGTGGTTGTTATTAAAAGTTTTCACCTTCTCAATGAAACATTTTGCCACAAGGGCACAAAACAAAGCATCTTCTATTATCTATTGTTTTCCTAGACATACTCTGTCTTTGCATTAAGCCTTATCATTCTGGGTCTGAATTGTTGTAGTTGTGGTGGCTTTTTTCCTAACTTCTTTGAATTTGAATGTCTTTAAGGGTTTGTGGTCTGACTGTGTCTTGAAGACCAAGAAGGTGGGGTGGCATGGTGGCTCAGTGGCTAGCACTGCTGCCTCACAGCGCCAGGAATCAGGTTCGATTCCACCATTGGGCGCCAGTCTGTGTGGAGTTTGCAAATTCTCCTCATGTCTGCGTGTGTTTCCTCCGGGTGCTCCAGTTTCCTCTCACAGTCCAAAGATGTGCAGGCTAGGTGGATTGGCTATGCTAAATTTCCCATAGTATTCAGGGATATGTGGATTATAGGGGGATGAGTCTGGGTGGGATGTCTGACGGTCAGTGTGGACTTGTTGGGCCAAAGGGCCTGTTTCCCTTCGGCCCAACAAGTTCTCTAGTTTTAAGTCTGATCTTCTTGGTTTTTCAGTTCTTCTACTCTGCAAGTCAGATGTAAGTCAGTACAGGTTTTCCTGGTTTGGAGTGAAACAACTCTGGGTTAGGATAAAATATATGGTTTCAGAGATTTTTCTCTCGATATACTAAAATGTTAGATTCTGTTGACCCATGGACTGAGTTCTATGAGTCCCGCCCATACAGTTTTAAAGCATGATGGCTGAAGGGAACTTTTCTTCAAGTACACTTTCTTCAGTGTCAGAAAGAATTGAAACTGCTGCATCTCTGTCTAACTTAAAGCATGTGTTTTTCCTATCTACATGGTTATCAGCATCACTGTGGATTCTGCTTGGTTCCTTGAACTCGCTAAAACAAAAGACATCTCCACAACATTAATGTCTTCTATTCGTGGATCTTGCCATGTTTTGATGGTTTCCCTTTAGGTTTGATCTCTACAAGCTTCTTACTGTGATACAGAGATTGTAAGTGATCCTACTTGCAAAAATGGCATTCGATCTTTGATTCGATTTTTGATTTGATTTGATTTATTATTGTCACATGTACCTAGGTACAGTGAAAAGTTTTGTTTTGCGTGCGATACAGACCGGTCATATCATACAAGTTCATAGGATGATAGAACAGGACAAGGAATACAATGTTATGGTTGCAGGGAAGGTGCATAGAAAGCATGATCAACATTAGATTTGAAATTTGAGAGGTCCATTCAGAAGTTTAATAACAGCGGGGATGAAGCTGTTCGTGAACCTGTTGGTACATGTGTTTAAGCTTTAGTATCTTCTGGAAGAGATTATAACCTGGGTGGGAGGGGTCTTTGATGATGTTGGCTGCCTTTCCGAGGCAGTGAGAAGTGTAGATGGAGTCAATAGATGGAAGGTTAGCTTGCATGATGGACTAGGTTGTGTTCACAATTCTCTGTAGTTTCTTACGATACTGGGCAGAGCAATTGCCATACCAAGCCGTGATGCATCTGGATAGAATACTTTCTATGGTGCATCTATTAAAGTTGGTGAGAGTCCTTATGGACATGTCGAATTTCCTTAGCCTCCTGAGGAAGAAGAGCCGTTGTTACGCTTTCTTGACCGTTGCATCAATATGGGTGGTCCAGGACAGATTGTTGGAGATTGTCACTCACAGGAACTTGATGCTGTCGACCATCTCCACCTCAGCTCTGATGATGTGGATAGGAGCATACTCTCCACCTTGCTTCCCAAAGTCAGTGACCAGCTCTTAGTTTTGCTGACGTTGAGCGAGAGATTGTTATCTTTATACCACGCCACCAATTGTTTGAGATCTGGCCTACAACGGTGCTGTCATCTGCAGACTTATAGATGGAGTTATGACCGTGTGGCCAAATTTCGTCCTGAGTGTACAGGGAGTAAGAAAATTGCAAGAAAAGGAGTTTGTGGAACATCTACGAGATGGCTTTTTGGAGCAGCTCATGGTGGAGCCCACAAGGGAATAGGCAATACTGGATTTAGTGTTGTGCAATGAGGTATACTTTTTGAGGGAGCTTAATGTAAAGGAACCCTTAGGAGGCAGTGATCATAATATGATAGAATTTACTCAGCAATTTGAGAGGGAGAAAATATAATCAGAGGTAACGGTATTACAGCTGAATAAAGGTGACTACAGAGCTATGAGGGAGGAGCTGGGCAGAACTGACTGGAAGAGGAGCCTAGCAGGAAAGAGAATGGAACAGCAATGGCAGGAGTTTCTAGGAGTAATTTAGGAGACACAGCAAAAATTCATCCCGAGGTAAAAGAAGCATGGTACAGGAAGAATGAGGCAACCATGGCTGACTGAGGAAGTCAGGGATAGCATAAAAGCAAAAGAGAAAGCATATAATGTGGCAAAGGGCAGTGGGAAACCAGAGGATTAGGAAGCTTACAAAGACCAACAGAGAGCAACAAAAGAAGAAATAAGGAGGGAGAAGATTAAATATGAGGGTAAGCTAGCCAGTAATATAAATGAAGACTGTAAGAGTTTCTTTAGATATATAAAGGGCAAAAGAGAGGCAAAAGTGGACATTGAACCACTGAGAAATGACGCTGGAGAGATATTAGTAGGGAACAAGGAAATGGCTGAGGAACTGAATAATTACTTCGCGTCAGTCTTCACGAGTAATCTCCCAAAAATTCAAGACAGTCAGGGAGCAGAGCTGAGTATGGTGGCCATCACCAAGGAAAAGGTGCTTGTAAAACTGATTGGCCTGCAGGTGGATAAGTCACCTGAACCAGATGAACTACACCCCAGAGTTCTAAAGGAGATAGCTGAAGAGATAGTGGATAGATAGCTAGAGTCAGGGAGGGTCCCAGAGGACTGGAAAATCTCTAACGTGACACCCCTGATTAAAAAGGGAGTAAGACAAAAGCCGGAAAATTACAGGCTGATTAGCCTAACCTCGGTTGTGGGTAAGATTTTGGAGTCCGTTGTGAAGGATGAGATTTCTGAATATTTGGAAGTGTATAGTAAAATAGGGCAAAATCAGTATGGTTTCATCAAGGGGAGGTCATGCTTGACAAATCTGCTAGAATTCTTTGAGAAAGTAACGAGCAGGGTAGACCAAGGAGAGCCAATGGATGTTATCTACCTGGATTTCAAGAAGGCCTTTGACAAGGTGCTGTACAGAAGGCAGCTTTGTAAGATAAGGACCATGGTGTTAGAGGCAAGGTGCTAACATGGATAGAAGATTGGTTGTCTGACAGAAGGCAGAGAGTGGAGATAAAATGGTCTTTCTCAGGATGGTAGCTGGTGACGACTGGTGTTCCACAAGGGTCAGTGTTGGGACCACAACTTTTTACTTTATACATTAATGATCTAGGTGAGGGAACTGTGGCCATTCTGGCTAAGTTTGCAGATGATACAAAGATAGGTCGAGGGACAGGTAGTATTGAGGAGGTGGGGAGGCTGCAGAAGGATTTGGACAGGTTAGAGTGGGCAAAGAAGTGGCAGGTGGGAAAGTGTGAGGTCATGCACTTTGGCAAGAGGAATAAAAGCATGGACTATTTTCTAAATGGAGAGAAAATTCAGAAGTCTGAAGTGCAAAGAGACTTGGGAGTTCTAGTCCAGGATTCTCTCAAGGTAAACTTGCAGGTTGAGTCAGTAGTCAGGAAGGCAAATGCAATGTTAGCATTTATTTTGAGAGGACTTGAATATAAAAGCAGGGAAGTACTACTGAGGCTTAATAAGGCCCTGGTCAGGCCACATTTGGAGTATTGTGTGCAGTTTTGGGCCCTATATCTCAGGAAGGATGTACTGGCCTGGAGTGGGTTCAGAGGAGGTTCATGAGAATGGTCCCAGGAATGAAAAGCTTAACATATGAACGTTTGAGGCCTCTGGGACTATACTCATTGGCGTTTAGAAGGATGAGGGGAGATCTAATTGAAACTTACAGAATACTGAATGGCCTGGACAGAGTGGATGTTAGGAAGATGCTTCCATTGGTAGGAGAGACTAGGATCCGAAGGCACAGCCTTAGAGTAAAGGGAAGACCTTTTAGAATGGAGATAAGAAGAAACTTCTTCAGCCAGAGAGTGGTGAGTCTATGGAATTCACTGCCACAGAAGGCTGTGGAGGCCAGGTCATTGAGTGCATTTAAGACTGACATAGATAGGTTCTTGATTATCAAGGGGATCAAGGGTTATGGGGAGAAGGCGGAAGAATGGAGTTGAGGAACTTATCAGCCATGAGTGAATGGCAGAGCAGACTCGATGGGCCGAATGGCCTAATTTCTACTCCTATATCTTATGGTCTTATGGAGTACAGTAAGACGCTGAGTATGCAGCCTTGTGGGGTGCTGGTACTGTTGTCTATTCTCACTGATTGTGGTCTGTTGGTCAGGAAGTTGAGGATCCAGTTGCAGAGGGCGGAGCAGAGACCTAGGTCTCTGAGCTTGGTGGGACAGTTTTTGCACCTGTGATTTTTTTTTCCTGCCATACTATTAGCAGTTAGCTGGAGCCGTTAATGCACACACTTCCTGCTTTGTTCAGTGAGCTTTCTGCTTTTAAACTTAACATACTCTACTGAGTCAGCTGTTTTGGGATTTTGATATCTGTCACGCCAAATTCTAAATAATTTTGCTTCCTGACCTCTGCTTGGCTGCTCCGTTGAATTGTCTTTGCTAAGGTTAAATTATTCACTGACTACCAGTGATCAGGCAATGCTTCCTGCGAGATATTGACAGTTCAGCCCCGATTAATTTTTTTTAAGCAGCTGTACTCAGCTCTCTGCAAGTCTGGAAAGGGTATAGATAAAGTATTGATGCTTTCTCCCTGTTGCTGCGAATGCTGATTAAATTTATTGTGCTTGACAATGGGTTTTTCTCTTGCAGATTTTGTTTATTGGTTCATGCAATGTGGGTGTCACTGACTGGCCAGTATTTATTGAAAAAGGCATCAAATGTTTAATTACTTCTAGTATTTAACTTTTATGTTCAGCAATCCCTTGCCTGACTAGGATATCATATGCACAGGCAGCCATTGGGTGGAGGTGCTGACATAATGGTAATGTGACTGTGCTGGTAATTGAGATATTCAATGTAATGATCGAGAAACATGGGTTTGAATCCCACCAGGGTGTATTGTGAAATTTGAATTCACTAAATATCTGGAATCAAAAGCTAGCCGAATGGAGACCAGTTAAGCACAGTTGGTTGGTTGCTGGTTCACTAATGTCCTTTAGGAAAGAAAATTGCTATACCTACCTGGCCTGGCCTACATGTGACTCCAAACCTCCACAATGTGGTTGACTCTTAACTGCCCTTCAAAATGGCCCTAGCATGACGCACAGTCCAAGAGATGATAAAGGATGAGCAATAAATACTAATTGAGTATTTACAGAGTCTGATCAGGTCAGGAAAACTTTAACTTTATTTAGGCAATATTTTACCATAGCTTCATGTTGCCACGAGGCTGCAGAAGAGGTCAAATTCATGAAATATCACAACACTTCCTGGGATGATGTATACTGTCTTTCATTAGCATATCACACAGTCAGACTTAATCTTTTAGACTACAGCAGATACAGAGGAGAGACACAAGCAGTGGTGATGGAGGGCAAAGGTTGAGATGTAGACACAAACAGAAAGCAGATATAGACAGAAAGAGGAATGCCGAGAGTTCTTGAAGAAAAGAATACAATAACTCAACATGAGGTCAGCTTTTCTATTTGACAGAAAAAAACAAGAGGTACCGTGCAAACTGGCTAAGGTCTAAAACCCAGAAAGCTACATGACAGCTCTGAGATGCTAACTAACTGAGCAATTTCCCCAAAGTAGCCAAACTTTGAATTGGGATGTCAATTGAAAGGGATCTGGAAAACTACACCATCAGGCTTGTTGTGAACTGAGAGAGAGAAAGATGGTTTGTAGAGGTATATTTTGCAGGAGATAATCACACCCATGAAATTCAAGAATGTAGGCTATCGACTGATTGAACTCCTGATTACCCGGCATGGATAAAGACAGCATATAGTGAATTTGCATAGCTGCATAATGCCTCATTATGCGGGGAGCGATACAAATTCTTGTGATTGTGTATCTATTTTTGTATTGACTATTTAATGTTATCTCTTACATTTGAGATATCATTCGTCTGTTTCATGTGTAGTTTGTTTTGGTCTTGATTGGTGTTTAAGTAAAAGCTGCAGAAAGTGGAGTCTGTTGATAATTTCTTCCTCTTTGGACATCAATCATTCAGTAAATTTGATAAATTTTATATACAGTTTTACCATCTACTTCATTAGTTCATAAGAGATAGAAGCAGGAGTAGGCCATTTGGCCCGTCGAGCCTGCTCCACCATTCAATAAGGTCATGGCTGATCTATCTGTGGTCTCAGCTCCTCCCACCTGCATTATCCCCATAATCCTTAATCCCCCATACATACAAAAATCTATCCAACAATGTCTTAAATATATTTAATGAAGCTGCTTCTACTGCTTCCTTGGGCAGAGAATTCCAGAGATTCACCACTTTCTGGGAATAGCAGTTCCTCCTCATCTCTGTCCTAAATCTACTCCCCCTAATCTTGAGGCTATGTCCCCTAGTCCTAGTCTCTCCTACCAGTGGAAACAACTTGCCTGCCTCTATCTCATCTATCCCTTTCATAATTTTATAAGTTTCTATAAGATTCCCTCTCAGACAGTTTCAAATAGTTCCGTACTCCAGCATTGTACAGTGACAGACTTATCCTCATCAATACTGTATACCAGTGTTATACAATGACAGATCTGTTCCCACCAGTACTGTAGCCCAGTGTTATACAGTGACAGACTTGATCTCACCAGTACTGTACCCCAGTGTTATACAATGACAGACCTGTCCCCACCAGTACTGTACCCTAGTGTTATACAATGACAGACCTGTCCCCACCAGTACTGTACCCTAGTGTTATACAATGACAGACCTGTCCCCACCAGTACTGTAACACAGTGTTATACAGCGACAGACCTGTCCCCACTAGTATTGTATCCTGGTGTTATACAGTGACAGATGTTTCCCCACCAGTACTGTATCAAAGAACAACAAAGAACTGTACAGCACAGGAACAGGCCCATTGACCCAACAAGACTGCACTGACACATGATATCTTTCTAAACTAAAAACATTTTGCATCTATGTTGTCTCTATCTCTCTTGCTGCCTATTCACATATTCACATATTAGTCAAGATGCCTCTTAAAACATTGCTATCGTAACTGCCTCCACCACCTCCTCTGGCAGTGCACTTATCACCCTCTGTGCAAAAAACTGGCCTCTCTCAACTCCTTTTAAACTTAACCCCCTTTACTTTTAACCTGTGGCCCCTAGTGATTGACATTTCTATCCTGGGAAAAGACTCTGACTACCCATTCTATACATGCTTCTCACAATTTTGTTAACTTCTATTAGGGTGCTCGTCACCATCGACATGCAATGAAAACAAACCAGGTTTGTCCAATTTCTCCTTATAGCTAATACCCTTTAAACCAGGCAACATCTTGGTAAACTCCAAAGCCCCCACATCTTTCTGGTAGTGTGTGGCGACCAGAACAGTACACAATATTTCAAATTCCAATATTCACAGGCACCTCGTGTATTCAGTAAATGACTTATGCCCACCAATGCTGTACCCAGTGTTATACAGTGACAGACCTGTCCCCACCAGCATTGTACCTCGGTGTTATACAGTGATAGACCTGTTCTCACCAATACTGTACCGCAGTGTTACACAGTGACAGATGCATCCCCTCCAGTTCTGTAGTCCTTAGTTACCCCAGGACTAACATATACTGTGTTAAATTACTCCTTCATCCAGCAGTGACGATGATGTACAGATATAACTGGATTTACTTGTTTCTCATATCCTATGTCATGAATCTGTTTGTTTCTGTCCTTCCCAGGTTGTCTTTTTGTCAAAAGATCTCAAAAAGGCGCTGAAATCCTTCACAATGCCCCTTTCTCTGATGAAGGATTGTAAGATCAAGCAGCCAAGGCTTAGGCCAGGCTACATCAAAGGACATATCGAAGCTGCACCAAATGGTAGGTGGGAGTAAAGAATGTTCCAGTGTCCTCCAATGTGTGTTACAGCAAGTAAAGGCAGAAATAGGTAATGATTAACAGCTGATCACAGAATTGCTTTGTTGGGTGAAGAAATTTGAGGTCCTGCTTCTTAAGTTCTTTCTTAAAATCAACCCTCCTCCCTGAGTCGTTGGTTCTGACATGGTACATGACTTCTGGCTGTTCATCTGCAGAATGTTCTGCACCTTTTCCATGATGTCCTTTACGCTGGCATCAGGAGGCAACAGTATGGGGTGACGTCAACAGCGAGACATGATGACTCAGTGGTTAGTACTGCTTCCTCACAGTGCCAGGGACCCAGGTTCGATTCCAGCCTTGACTGACTGTAGTGGAGTTTGCATTGTTCTCTCCATGTTGGCATGGGTTTCTGCCTTGTGCTCCTATTTCCTCCCACAGTGCAAAGATGTGCAGGGTAGGTGGGTTGGCCATGCTAAATTGTCCATAGTGTCTAGGGATATGCAGGCTGGGTGGGTTAGTCATGGTAAATGCAGGCTTATGGGGATAGGATAGGAGTCTAGGTGGGATGCTGTTCGGAAGGTCAGTGTGGACTTGATGGGCCAAATGGCCTCTTTCTACACTGTAGGGATTCTATAACTCTATATTCTATAACACTATCCCACTGATTGTCAAATATCCGTTTACTATTGAATTCTGACAGCTTTGTAGTATGCCCCGTCCAGACTTTAGTCTTATCATTCCAGGATCATTCTCAACAGTATTTAATATTGGTGAATATTGGTTTGAAAATTCTGCACTTCCAGGGAATCCTGGTCTGCTTGCCTCTTTCAAGCCTTCCAGGAGGCCACCCACTTGTAATTCTGAAATCTTTTTGGTCGTGGGGCAACTACTTCCTGAAACAAAAACCAAAAGAAGTGCAGATGCTGTAAATCAGGAAGTTCTGAGGAAGGGTCACTGGACCGAAATGTTAACTCTGTTTTCTCCTTCATAGATGCTGCCAGACCTGCTGAGCTTTTCCAGCAACTTTGTTTTTTTTACTTCCTGCAACATTCAGCCACCATGTATCCTGTTGTGAATCAAGCTGCACTTTGATGTCAGAAGTCCTCAAAATATGTTTGAGCAACTGGAGACACTTCCTGTAAGGATGGTTGTTTGGGATACATGATGTGTCTTAAAATTCCCACAGGGTGCAGAAACTGAAGGTCAAAGAAGCAGCTGCCCAACCTTGGAACGCAGGGACAAAATGTCTGGAGGAGATTGACTGTTCAAGTCTGGGCAAAAATGAAGCTTTGTGAGGGAGGTGTCTTTGACAGGAGACAGCTGAGCTGATTTTCCAACATCCTCAGTGATCAATAAATCCACAAGTTTCTGGGAACTGTTGTTGGGTGAGTAACAGGTAAATTTTGAGAAATTGTTATTGTAGCAGAGAGCATTAGAAGCTTCAACTTAGTATTAAAAGTATTTCACATTGTAAGGATTAATTAACTTAAAGGGGTAAAACATGGCAGGAGAGCATTTCCAATGCCCGGGACCTCCGTGTATGCAAGAAGTGTCTCCAGCTGCAGCTCCTGGAGGCCCGAGTTTCGGAGTTGGAGCAGCATCTGGGGACACTGTGGATCATTTGCGAGGCGGAGAGTGTCATGGATAGCATGTATAGAGAGGTGGTCACACTGCAGATTCAGACTCCACAGGCTGGAAGGGAATGGGTGACCACCAGGCAGAGCAGGAACGCTAAGCAGGCAGGAATCTCCTGTAGCTATTCCCCTGCAAAACAGATGTACTGTTTTGGATACTGTTGAGGGGAATAACCTCTCAGGGGATAACAGCAGCAGCCAAATTTATGGCCAAATTTGGCTCTGCTGCAGAAGGAGGGAGAGAAAGGCATAGAATTTCTATAGTTGTAGGGGATTCAATTGAAAGGGGAATCAATAGGCGTTTCCGTGGCCACAAACGAGAGTCCAGGAAGATGTGTTACCTCCCTGGTGCTAGGGTCCTGGATGTGAGAGCGGTTGCAGGGAATTCTGGAGGGAGAGGGTGAACAGCCAGTGGTCATGGTACACATCGGTACTAATGGTGTAGGTAAAAAAATGGGATGAGGTTCTAAAAGAAGAATATAGAGAACTAGGAAGAAAGTTGAAATGTAGGACCTCAAAGTTAGTTATTTCAGGATTACTATCAGTGTCAAGAGCTACTCAGAGTAGAAAGAGCAGGATATATTGAATGAACATGTGGCTGAAAAGGTGGTGTGAGGGAGAGGGTTTCAGATTCGTGGGGCATTGGGACCGGTTCTGGGGGAGGTGGGACCTGTAGAAACTGGATGGGCAGGATCAGGACTGATGTCTTTGGGGGAATACTTGGTAGAGTGGTTGGGGAGGGTTTAAACTGGCGTGGCAGGGGGATGGGAACTAGAGGAGTAGGGCACTAGATGCAGAAATTGAGGGAGAGGT